CTTACACAACTTTTATAATTAAATGTATCTTCATTTCTAGTTAATTAAATTAAACAAGGTATTGTTAAATTCGTAGTTAATTTTTTCAATCTTTAACTTTTTTATTAATAATTTTTTTAATAATTATTTATAATTTATAATAAAAAAATAAAAAAAAAAATGTAAATGCACCAGGTGGCGCCAAGTGGCACCACCTGGTGCAATGGTGGGAAGGGACGCGCTAACCATTACCAGGGCTGTTGCCTGGGCTTTTGAAAGCCCAGGCCACAGCCCTGGGCTGTCCAAATTAACCCCCCTGGATGGTTGGAGACCATCCAGGGGAAGGCCCCGGGCCATCTCCACCCACCCCCTGGGTGGGTTGGAGATGGCCTAAGAGTTCAATAAGTATAATTGTTTAATAAAAATAAAAATATGGAGAAATATTTTTTTCATTCAAGAAATTCTAAATTAATTGTTTAATAATAAAAAAATAATATGGAGATAATTTTTTTGCATTTAATTAAAAAAAATTGTTAGTACCAATTGTTAATTGAATATGCTTGCAAAAATTGGGTTTGTCCGGAAGCTAGAGAATTTGACTGCATTCGTGTCCGTAGGTCGCGGACCCGCACAAGTCTTGAAGAGACGAAGTGAATTTCGATTCATGATTGGTGGCTATAAATTTATAAAAATATCGAATTAGTTGAAATAATAATTAAACACTTACACAAACAATTTAATTTTCTTCTTATTTTTGTGTGTGCCGTTTATTTAATGTTGTAACTCGTGTTTTGAATCAATTTTAATTTTATTATTATCAACTCTCTTTGATTTTAATATTTAAATATTATTATTATAGTTATTAGTAATATTAATTTTAATATTAAAAATAAAATTAAAACTATAATTATAAGTGAGAGTGGACAAGAGTTGAAAATTGAATTAAATCAACATCGGAGCCCTACCATTGGAGACGACTAGGCAGGGCTCGGAGTGGGGGGGGGGGGGGGGGGGGGCTCGGGGCTCCGACATCGGAGCCCTACCATTGGAGACGTCCAAGCAGGGCTCGGGGTGGGGGCAGGGGCAGCCCCGGGGCTCCGGAGCCCCCCGCCCCCCCCTCCATTACAGATGGCCTTAGGAAAAATTCCAATATACCATTTTTATCAAATAATCTTAGCATATATTAACATTAATGACAAGAATTAGTAAAAAGGATGAAATTAGTTAAAAATATTAATTTTACATTGAAATCCTAAAACGACAAATAAAAGTAAACAATTTTTTTTTCTAAAGCGATAAATAAAAAAAAAATGGAGGAAGTAATTGCCCCCAAAAAATGTTTATTCCCTCGAATCAAGGAAACAAGTCTACAATCGGCCTTTCTATATAGAAACATTTTTTGGCTTTGATCAGTTCGACGAGTTATGAATTGAAATTTGAGAATGATCGTGAAGCTACAACTAATTACTCTGAACTGAAAAACTCTCCAAATTACCAGCATTCTTTTTTGCTAATTTTTTTGTCATAAATTATTTTGAACACTATCAAAAAATGAAACCATAGAGGGCCAAAATAGGAAATTCGCAGGTCAACTCGATGCTAAAACTTAAAAATTTCCACAAGAGTGGAGACTAGAAACAAAGGTTGATTTTCCAAAGTCAACAGCAAGGCAATTTCCCATTATAAAACACCCCAACAGCCCAACTACCATTTCAAACTAACCACCACCACCACCACCACAGCTCTTTCCTCCACCGGCCGCCACCGCAAAATGTCTCCCACTCCTACTAAGCTTATATCCCATTTCACTCTCCTCTATTTCTTCACTCTAATTTTCCTAGTCATATCAAAACCAACTCTTCTCCCTTCTGACCACAATGCCCTTTGGCTCATCCACAGAGACTTTAACATCCCCCATGCTCCGGCTCGGAATCCATGCGATTCCACCGGAATATTCTGTGAACTCCGAATGGAAAATCATACTTCTGTTCTCAGAATCACTCGCTTGGTTTTCGAGTCAAAGCAGATTAAGGGTAGACTTTCCCCTGCCATTGGTAAACTATCCGAGTTGAAAGAACTCTCCTTATCACAAAACCAACTTTTTGACCAAATCCCATCTCAAATTGTTCATTGCCACAAACTAGCGGTGCTAAACCTGGGAAAAAATCAATTTTCCGGCAAAATCCCGTCTGGGTTGTCGTCATTAATCCACCCCCAACTCCTAGATTTGTCGTCAAATAAGATTGTAGGAAGTCTTGGATTCTTGAAATACTTTCCCAACCTTGAAAACCTCGATCTTGCTGATAATATGTTTGTTGGAAAAGTGCCTCTTTCTTTGAAATCTTTTCGGAATCTCAGATTCATTAATGTATCCGGAAACAGTTTAGTTGATAGTACTCATGTCCCTTTGCTGAGCCAAATCGAAGAGAACACCCCAAAACGTTATGTTTTTGTTGAAACTTCAAATGACAGAAACCAATCCTTTCACTCAGCCATGTCTCCTTCTTCGAGTCAAGAATCCAATGGCGCCGAGGCCCCATCCCCCACGGGTACTCCACTCCACCACAAGCATCACAAGAACCACAAAAGAAAAATTGTGGGGTCGGTTGTCGGATTCTTGGCTGGTGTTCTAGTAGGGAGTATATCCGGATTCCTGTTCTCTTTCCTTTTCAGATTCCTCGTGTTCTTGATTCGAGGGCGTAGTAAAGACTCGGCCTTGAAAATATTTAGCCCCATGATTAAAAAGCCAGAGGACTTAGCTTTTCTTGAAAAAGAAGACGGTTTGGCATCACTTGATATTATAGGTAGAGGTGGTTGTGGTGAAGTTTACAAAGCCGTTTTACCCGGAAGTAATGGCAAAGAAATCGCCATAAAGAAGATTATCCAACCCCCTAGAGAAGTAGAACAAGAGCTCGCGGATGAAGATAGCAAGCTTTTAAACAAAAAGCTACGCCAAATTAGATCCGAAATCCAAACTGTAGGCCAAATTAGGCACCGGAATTTAGTCCCTTTACTAGCCCATCTCCCACGCCATGATTGCCATTTCCTCGTTTACGAGTACATGAAGAATGGAAGCTTACAAGATTACCTCCAACACGTAGCCGAGGGTAGAGCGGAACTAAATTGGCTTGCACGGTATAAAATCGCTCTTGGCGTGGCTGCAGGGCTTGAGTATCTCCACATAAGTCATACTCCTACCATAATTCATAGAGATTTAAAGCCTGCGAATATCCTATTGGACGATGAAATGGAGGCGAGAATAGCGGATTTCGGGCTTGCGAAAGCAGTCCCTGATACTCACACGCATGTTACAACTTCAAACGTGAAAGGCACGGTTGGTTACATTGCTCCTGAGTATTACCAGACCAACAAGTTTACTGATAAGTGCGATGTATATAGCTTTGGGGTTGTGTTAGGTGTTCTCGTGAAGGGGAAGTTGCCGTCTGATGATTTTTTTCAGCATACGGATGAGATGAGTTTGGTTAAGTGGATGAGAAATGTGATGACTTCCGACGAGCCTCAAAGGGCAATTGATGAGAGGCTTTTGGGGAATGGGTATGAAGAGCAGATGCTTTTGGTTCTTAAGGTTGCTTGTTTTTGCACTTTGGATAATCCAAAAGAGAGGCCTAATAGTAAGGATGCTCGGTGCATGTTATCGCAGATCAAGCATTAGTTATACATGATCTATAAATTAGATGATTATTTGTTATGATGCATATCAAAATGTTAATTCATTAAGCTGTCATAAGTCCAAAAATATCTTGCAGATTCTTGTGTAATGAAAATAGGTGCTCAATGGATTTTATATATTATCATCAAAAGATGAATTGCTTTTACTTTGAGAAAACCTTTTACTTCAGCAATGGTGTCATCAACACCTCTACTACAGACTACAAGGTAGTTAACAAGAAAATATTTTATTGTCTTTGATAATACAGTACATCATTTCATAATTAGATTTTTTTAAATAAAAAAAGATATATTTTCCTTGAGCGGTTCAATCTGTCAAAAATAACAACTCAGCTTAGTGCAGTTGGACTGGCTGCATATTTTACAAACATGAAACACTAGTATATGAATCATATTCATTGGTAAGTATTTATGTATTGTCAAAATGCTCATTCTCTGAAGAACTTTTAGAAAGATTGAAATCCAGCTATAAATTCAAGGCATGAGTTAAAGTTGGGCATAAAGCTGGAAACGTTTTCGAAGCAAAATATGGATTCATTTGACAATAAATAATGTTATAATAAATTTTTAGCATATAAGCCCTTATAGCTCAGTGGTAGAGCGTCAGTCTTGTAAACTGAAGGTCTGCAGTTCGATCCTGCATGAGGGCATTTTTTTGGTAGTATTTATTATTTATTGTAGGGCTATCGATGGTGCGGATTTCAATCCGGAACCGTCCGAATCCGGTCCGATTTATTAGGATAATTATCCAAATAGAGATTCGATGGATGAATCCGATTATAAAGATCCGTAATCCGAAACCCATGGAGCGAATATGGATTTAGGTCAATCCGATCCGTTAAAGATTCTTCTCCGTCAATTAATAAAAAGAAAGATATATATACATAATGTTTTATAAAATTAAGTATCATTAATAATATTTCACCGTCAATTTAAGAAGATAGTAATTTATAACTCGTTTATAAATTTATTTTAACCAATATTTTCATTCTACAAATATGAATATAGTAAAGAAACTTTGAACAAGTGAACTAAAATTAAATAAAATTGAAAAATTAATAAACTTGTTTTAGGAAAAAATATTAATTTAACATTTTAAATGAAAATTTATTGGATCCGAAAAAGATCCGATATCCGGTCAAATTCGACCAAGATTCGTTGGATTAAATTTTTTTAAATCCGAGCACAATCCGAGCAAGATCCGAATCCGACAAGGTTCGATCCGATATAAATGGAGCCGGAACTGGACGAACCTGATTCGACCAAAATCCGACCCATTGACAGCCCTAATTTTTTGTTTACTTTGAGTTGGGCCGTTGAATTATCAAAAAAGAAACAAAAGTTGGGCCGTTCAGCCTCGGCCCATTATATAACTGAAAACCAATGATTTCAAAATTTTACTGCTATTTTTAATAAATACACAAATCCAGTTTACGTTATTCCAATGTATAAAAGAAAAAGAAAATAAAAGTGCATGTGAATAATAGCTAAATATGATTGCATTATGTTTTATGCAGTGATTTATCCTTATTAATATTATGCATAAACAAACAGTGTAGACTGGCGATCTTACTTTTTGATCTCTAAACAAAACTTAGGCCCTAATAGGTTAGGTTATGGCCCAGTCTTGCAGTTTCGTGAAATTGAGCCAAAACTCAAATTTCAATTTCAAATCTATAAAAGATTATAATTTGAGTTATTTGACACCTGTCATCTATTTTTTATATATAAAACATATGGATTTTACAACCATCAGCTACTTTTTCCCTCCAAATCCCAACATTCAAACTCAATCCAAATGTAGTTTCAAAGGATCCAAACCAATTTTTTAAATCTAAAATCCAACAAAATCGAGTCAAAACCTAACCAAATAGGCCCTATGACCCTCAATCTATGTCATACAAAATGTATATCTTACATACTCCTTTTTAGCTGTTTAGATGGAAAAAATACAGTTTGATCTTCGTATTCAAATATTTCAAACTTTTTTTTCAACACATCAATCGACATAATTTAAATATTCATAACTATGACACAAAATGAACCATATATTAATATGTTATAATGTGCATGACACTCTCCTACGTCGCCAATGTAAGCAAATAATTTACTTGTGATTTTTAAATTAAAAAGTTTGATAAAGTATTCATCTAGAATTTGAAGCCCTTAGAAAATGAGATATGACCAAGTATATACTTAAGGTGCCTAGTCATGGACCGGGCCCGCAAACAACATGTAATTATGGAGGGTGTGTGTCTTGTGGCTAGCTAAACTATTCTATACTCACTCAGGTTATTAATACCCAAAATTCATGACCTTATTGGCTTGAGTTTTTTGGAAGTATTTTCATACTATTTTCTTAAGAAAAGTAAAAATTTAATTAATAATATTTTTTGTTTTTCACAAATTATGTAGTCTTTTTAGATTTATGTTGCACTAACACAAAAACCCAACAAAAAAATTCAGCATATTTTTCAAACACATGAAAATCGAGAAAATCTCTAAAAAAAGTTCAAAATCTCTACAATTTCTATGAGAAAAACTCAAACAAATGTACCCCAAAAGTTTTCGTATAATCGTATGTACATTTCAGTAAACTGTGATTCCGTATAAGCATCTTATATACTCCGATCCCTTCGTCCCAAAATTTTTACTCCCTTTTGGTTTTGTACGGAGTTTTAGGTGAGAGTTGAAAAAATGAAACTTTTGGGTATCTTTACATTTTTACTCTAAAAGTAGTGATTGAGAATTAATGGTGTCAAATTATTACTTTTTAAGAAATTGAGTATTATTTTGGGAGTTGGGACGTCCCAAAAAAAAAATTAGGAGTAAATTTTTTGGAACATAGTGAGTACAAATTAGTTTTCGTTGAGCTTTAGCTACCTGAAAAAATCAGTTTTACTTATATCAATTTCTTGTATATAATATGTTGATAAATAAAGTTTATAAAATGTGAGTGAGCTGGTTGTAGTCTAATGGTAAGGCTGAGACACCTGAATTAAGAGGTCATGAGTTCAGTTTTCATTCGTGTGGATTTTCTTCTAATTTAATACTTGTGTTTTGTAGTTGTTTTTCTATGTAATTTGATTGAAATAGAATAAAATTTATAATTTAGTGATATTAATGTAATGGTGTAATTCTTGTTTTACTAAACAAAATATCAATTTTATAAAATCAATTTTCACTAAGATCAATTTAGTGAAGGGATCACTAATTTCTTTTTAACTGTCAGGTCACATTTGTCCTAAATAACACATGATGTAAAACACCAAAAAATTCAAGCCATATAAATAAATTAGTATACATGTACGTACTTTGTCGTTGAACTCTTTAATTAGGCATCTCCTCTACAATGGAAACTTAGTATTTTTTTATTTTTATTTATCTTCAAGCCCATTTTCTCGCAGCGGCAAATTATGTCAGGAAATCTATTCGATTATATTTCATTGTTACATAAGTAGAAAAATAAACTAATTACAAATCACTGTCTAAAAAACGTCAAAGTATGTAAAAAGTCACCATAAATTCCAATTTTAATAATTAATAGTGACAAATGTAGGTAGGGTATTATGTACTAATCAATTTAAGAGGAATATTTTGGGAAAATCCAGCGGACAACAAGTATTTCCAAAACATAAACCCAAGTTCTGTTAAATTTATAATTAATTGAATATTTAAATAACGGTAACATGTTTGCAAGATGCGCAAGATTTTCAGTAAGCACGGATTAGTGTGGTTGGATTAGTTATAATTACATGATAATATACTTAATCTTATCCTCTTTGATGCTGTTGCATGTAATTATTTTAAAATAGTCATACAATTGCCTATTTAGTCTAAATTATAGTAATTAAATCAGCTATCAAACATTTATTTAGGTTCTAAATAAATTAAAAAATTAGGCTAACCTACTCAAGGGATTCGAATCAAATCAATTAAGTGATCGATGAGAAATTTAGCGTAGGTTGTAATTATGTACAGATTAGGTGGGATTTGAACTATATATAATGTTGGAGTATTTTTTGTGGGGAGGCTAGGCCAGGATAGGGACCCTCAATGAGACTAAACCTTGGTTATGTATACATTTTACCACATAAGTTGGCCACAGGTCATTATCTAAAGGAATAATTTATATTATGAAAAACACACAAGTAATTGTTTTGAAATATATAGTTTTTATTTTTGAGAAAAACACTTTTGATACCAAATTTTAGTCCAAAAAACACATTTGATATCAAACTTTTCGAAAAAATGCATTTCATACCATGATTAACATTCTCTTGACACATTTAGTTTTCCTGATCAATTTTTGGACGGAATTCAACACGTGCCCGTAAGTTAACAATGGTGGGTCTTTAAAACTCGTGCATGTTTTACCTTCCATTGAACAATTTAACAGGCACGTGAGCGGCACGTGCTGAATTTCGTTCGAAAATTGACGGTAAAATTAAATGTGTCAAGAGGGTGTGAATCATGATATGAAATGTGTTTTTCGAAAAGTTTGGTACCAAATGTATTTTTTGGACTAAAGTTTAATATCAAAAGTGTTTTTCTCTCGTTCTTATTTCATCCACTACAACAAATATTATTGTTAGTGACATTTTGGTATTGACATTTTTTCCATAATGCCACAACATTTTAATAAGATTACATTCTTACAGATGCCACAATAGTTAGCTCATTTGTGGCATTAACCTGTAGATATTGGTGGCATGTGATCTTGTCATGCCACGGCAATTTAATAACATGATATTTTGGAAAAATGCCACTTTAGTTTGCTATTTAGTGGCATTGACAGTGGAGTTTTAGTGAGATTTGTTGTGAAATGTCGGAATTTATCAAAAGTTACTAATGACATTTAGCCTCAACATGCCACTGCTGAATGTTTCTAGAAAAATGTCACATTAGGATGTTATTTTGTGGCATTAATTCAAGAATTTCAGTAGCATTTTCTTTAAAATGTTATACTTGCCACTTTTTTTTTTTTTTCATGACAATAACTTAAGAATTATAGCGGTATTAATTTTCAGTAATTATAAGAAGCCCACAAAAGTGTTACTTTTTTTTGGAGCAAAAGTGTTATTTTTTTAATTTTTTTATTATCAAAAGTGCAACTTTACAATAATAGGGACAAGAAATAGTGGGGAGCAGTCATGTCATATGAGACTATAAATATAATTTTGCCCTTATCAAATTATTAAGTTATTCGAGTTCAATTTATGTTCTACTTGGTTAAAATTGATATAAAATCATGTTTAACAATCAAAATAATTTCAAACTCATGAAAATCAAACCAAACTTGAACATTGTGTTTTTTCTTTTACCGATATTGAACTAGATTTTATACTCCCAACTTGATAATTTCTTTTGATGAGAAATCGTTAACTTGTTAAATTATAAAAAGTACTTTGTTCCTTTTTTTATTTAATTCAAGGCAATCAAAACAAAACCACAAAATAGTTATTAATTACCAAATAAGTATTCAACCTTTTGCTATTCGAAAATGGTAATAACGACAGTATATGTTAATCCCTTATTCATAAATAAACAAAACTAAGAAGGGGTAAAAAGCAGAGGAAGAAAATAGTGTGAAACCTTTGTACAGATTTGTCCCTCTTGAATCGGTTCATGGTGGAATTTCAATTGAAAT